TCGCGTATTTCAACCCGAGTTTCGCTTCAATAAATTCTCACGAAAGATGCTCATTTTCGTTGGAAGCGTAATTTCGTTATCTTACGGTTAACGTAAAGCAATTTGTCCCGAACGGTATTTTTTTATGTTCCCAACACAATTTTAAAAATTTTAAAATAAATTTTTAATTAATTAGAAAAAAAAGTTTTTAATAAAATGATAATATCCAATAACAGTTTTAAATGAAGTTTCATCTCAAAGTTCTCGTTTAATAAAGTGCATAATAATAAAATCGTTTATAAAGAATTTTATGGAGCTAGCGAAGTTTTGAGTCACCCAACTTGACCGCCGTTTTCGTCCTTCCTCTTTATATGAACGACAATTTTCGATCATTGCCAACGAGATGTGTGCATGGTATGAGTCATAAAGTTATAAAGATGTCGCCTCGGAAGCATTTTGATTCGATTTTGTCGGATTTTTCTTTTAATCTTTAGTAGAAGTAACCACATTGATAAGTCATTTGAAAAGTGGTATAAAAACTCATCCAGATGAAATGGGTTTTGCGTAGATCAAAGAAACCGCTTCGATGACGAGTGTTAATCATCTTTCAGCGGTAAATTCCGCTTTGGATTTTGAGGAAGAGAATGTTTTTTGAGGTCAAGAAACGTTGTTAACCACGCACTCATCGTGACTAATAATTTTTCCGATCGATTCCGCTACGAGTAAATGAATCAGAATACAGCGGTGGAATGAGGAATCGAAAATTACTTCCGATTCTTTAGGGAAATTGAACAAAATCAACTTTTTTGTGTTATTTAATTTTATTTGGTTACTTTTTTTTTTGGTTTAAAGATAAAATTGAAATAGTTGACCGTAACGAATATCCTTAAATTTTTAAATTAGGTCAAAGAGTTTTGTAAACATTTTTACGAAATAATTTTGCAAAAGGACCATTCAAATTTCGAAAGTTATTTCAAAAAAAAAAACCAATAAGATAACTAAATTAGTACAGTAAAAACTCGATATAACGGACTAATACGGGGAAGAGAGTGTCTGTTATATGAAAAAAAATTGTTTAAAGCCTCTGAAGACGCAAAACCCCGTATGTTTCTAGTTTTAGATCTAGTGTTAGTTCTAATTTTAGTTCAATGAAAAATATACATAAATCTAACGCTCAATAACAAATAAAACTAGAACTAATACTAGTATTAGAACTAACACTAGACCTAGAACTAGAAGCATTCGGGTTTAGCCGTCTTAATAGACGTGCGGCTAAATCCGAATGATTCTAGTTCTAGTTATAGTGTTAGTTTTAGTGACAGTGTAAGTATAAAACTAGAACTAATACTAGACCTAGAACTAGAATCATTCGGATTTAGCCGCACGTCTCTCAAGACGGCTAAAGCCGAATGATTCTAGTTCTAGGTCTTGTGTTAGTTCTAGTGATAGTTCTAGTGTAAAACTACAACTAACACTAGACCTAGAAATAGAAATTTTCGGGTTTAGCCGTGCGCCCGATACTTTCTAGTTCTTGGTCTAGTGTTAGTTCTAGTTTTAGTTCAATTAAAAACATACAACAAATTAACGCTCAATAACAAATAAAACTAGAACTAATACTAGTATTAGAACTAACACTAGACCTAGAACTAGAAACATTCGGGTTTAGCCGTCTTAATAGACGTGCGGCTAAATCCGAATGATTCTAGTTCTAGGTCTAGTATTAGTTCTAGTTTTATACTAACACTGTCACTAGAACTAACACTATAACTAGAACTAGAATCATTCGGATTTAACCGCACGTCTATTAAGACGGCTAAACCCGAATGTTTCTAGTTCTAGGTCTTGTGTTAGTTCTAGTGATAGTGATAGTGTAAAACTAGAACTAACACTAGGTCTAGAAATAGAAATTTTCGGGTTTAGCCGTGCGCCCGGTACTTTCTAGTTCTTGGTCTAGTGTTAGTTCTAGTTTTAGTTCAATTAAAAACATACAACAAATTAACACTCAATAACAAATAAAACTAGAACCAATACTAGTATTAGAACTAACACTAGACCTAGAACTAGAAACATTCGGGTTTAGCCGTCTTAATAGACGTACGGCTAAATCCGAATGATTCTAGTTCTAGGTCTAGTATTAGTTCTAGTTTTATAGTAACACTGTCGCTAGAACTAACACTATAACTAGAACTAGAATCATTCGGATTTAGCCGCACGTCTATTAAGACGGCTAAACCCGAATGTTTCTAGTTCTAGGTCTAGTGTTAGTTCTAGTTTTACACTAGCACTATCACTAGAACTAACACAAGACCTAGAACTAGAATCATTCGG